TACAACACATCTACAACCCACACCCTCACAGAAATGATGGTATGGGTTTCTTTGCCTTTTACTGAAAAAGCTCCTGTGTGCCCTCAAGTTGCAAAAAAGTGGAGGGGTGGGGAAGGGAGATAAAATTTTAAAAAGGGAGGACTGGGTTGTTCAGAAGTGTTGGGGGTCTTAAAAATAAAAAAAAGGCATAAACTGGATAGCGGAACCACAACAGCTGCTGTTGTGATGCACGGACTATTATATAGAATGTCACACCTTTCTCTGCCACTCTGTACATGCCACAACTTCCTTTCCTGGGATTTCTGATTATAGTTAATCAGTCACAATTCTTGAGTCTACCTGCTGTAATTCATTCATCTTCTCTTCTTGCTCTCTACAAACCAACCTTATTGAGTCAGAACATTCATCAGATATTGACAATAGCACCTAACTTTCATGTGACCTGAAAACTAGTGTAGTCCATTGATTTAGAGAATTCGGGAATTTGGGGTTCAAACTGTCGTTGAGTCCCAAAGCTCAGTAGATTATCTTGAGCCAGTCATGCTGTCTCCACACAACCGACTTGAAGGGGTGGAGTACTGAAACAGGAAATTTGGGTGAAGAGACATGAAAGGAATGAAGCAGAGAATGCTATAAAATGGCACGCTCATGCAGGAAAGATGGGATTAAACTGTAAATTATTCAATGGAAAAATACACCTCTGGATAATAACAAAAGGACCATGTATCAAAGGACAAAATTCTTATGCATGTACTGCAGTAAGACAGTGTAAGACAGTAATCCAAGCCTGTATCAATAATTATCTTGCTCCAGGACTGAGCTCTGTACTGAAAATGAGGTCCTTCAGTAGGTGAAAAGTATAATCAGGGATGATCTGAGGCTATCTACAGATGCAATGAATTGGAAGATTTATTTAAATCACAGCGGATAAACAGGGAATAAGACGCACAAAATGAAGATGTGCCAATGTTACCTTGTTTCCCTAGACTCAGACATAAAAGTGTGCCAAAATTATCACTATCGCTTGGCAGATTTATAAATGTGTTGGATTCCGAAGACTATGTCACTGTTGTTGTTGTTGTTTAGTCATTAAGTCTTGTCTGACTCTTCGTGACCCCATGGACCAGAGCATGCCATGCCCACTATGACCACCAGGTCATAGTGGAGAGTTCTGACTAAACACGATCCACCCGAAGCAGGAACTGGCAATCCACTCCAGTATCTTTGCCAAGAAAACTCCATGAACAGAAACAAAAGACTATGTCACTATGCTCCTTCAATTGACAAATGGCAAAATACTTTTACCATCTGTTAATACAAGAAGGATGTTAGAATAGTCTGGCTATCTGTGTACGCCCAGACACCATGTTCTTCAAACAGTCAGCAACAGGTAATTTACTACAGTACTTGTTAAAAATATTATTTGCTGTCATCTAGATTAAGAGTCTTATCCTTCATATTTTAAAATATGGCACCAAAACAGGTGTATGATATGATGGCAAACAACCTGACTAGAACTGCTTCTGGCTTCCAGATCAGGCTTCCTAGCCTGTAAATTTGTAAGAACATCTTCTCCTCTTAGAGTGATGATTTGTGCCAAGTTTCAATTAAAATCTGTATATGTTGGCTGCCTTTGTACTTTCATTTGAATTCTAGCAGCGACTGTATGTACTAAAAGCTTTTCTATATTCACAAGCATTTGCTGCTTCCTACCATTTATTATATGCTACGTAGAACAAAGGTGTTTTATTTCTCTGTCTGTTCAACTTACAGTAAATGCCAAGCCTATCATACAAAAAAACTTGATTAGGCCAGATGTGAAAATTGGTACAAGACACATCAATAATCTAAGGTATGCTGGTGACACCATGTTACTGATAGCAACAACCTGAAGAGACTATTAATGAAAATGAAGTAAGAACATAAAAAACAAAGATGATTATTGTTTGTGAATGGAGATAGAGCTGCAGGAAGGGTCATCCTCAACATCTTCCCCATGCTCTCTGGGTTCCAGCCACAGGTTGATAGAAGGCCATATGTGGTGCTGGGGCACTACCCACAGATGTCTATTGCCCCAGTGGTTTACATAACAAACGCTCAGAGGAGGGCACAGGGAAAAGACAGAAAGTTTTCCACTCAAGAGACTTCCCACCGAAAAGAAGCAATGAAAGGAGGAAAGATTGATTGGTCAGGGAAAACCAAGTTCAAGGTTGCTGATGAAGGAAACAAAGTGGAACGTGGGGCTGAAGAGAGAAAGAGAGATGATCTCCAGCCTATTTGTTCTTAATTTGCTGGTACCTCCATAGTCCCAACATTCCACCCAGTCAAATACTTTGGTTTATGTCAGCAGACTTCAAACCAGCAGTGGGCAAATCGGACAATCTACTTACTGAATGTGGCGATTACCAAGCTGCAGCAATCAGTCCAACCTTAACTCATCTAAGGCAGTGTACTACTAGAGAGATTTCAAAAGACTGTATCAAATGGACAAATACTTAAAGGAGGGAAAGATAACCCTATAAAGGTTATTCCCCGAGGTTCCTGGAAGTTATTCTCCCTCCTGCCCTTAGTTAGTCTAAAGACTTTAAGGCCCCAGTGGTGAAATAAAACAAGGAGTAAGAGATTGTTAAAAATGTCAAGAAAGGGACTGAGTGAAGACTTGCGTGGCTTGTTGGTCTGCTATGTAAAATAGTTCTGTAACCAATGTTTAGCTTGTTATACCAATCTCCGTATTTTTCTTAAAAGGAACAGCAATCCTAGTGGACCTTCTGACCTCCCTCTGCCAGTGTATGGACTGGGTACCCTTACACAGCTGAATGAAATAATGACTCCAGAAGAATTGGAAGCCTTTAATGTTGATAATGGAGAAACTGAAATTGTTAAAAGATTTTCTGTATCTCAGTTCAATCATCAATTCAAGTGAAGCTTAGAAATCCAGTACTGAGCACTGGAAGGGCAGCTACAAAGGAACTAAGTGTAGAATTCATTATTGGAAACCAAGGCCAAGGTCATCCATATTATGGCATTCCTGATTACCATGTCCTGATATGACAGCTGACCAATGAAGAAAGCGACAGGAAAAACATTGATTCATTCATAATATGGGATAAAAGGAGATCTTTACAGATATCACAGACTGCCACAAAGACCAGTAAGTGGGTTCTAGATCAAGTTATGGCTGATCTGTCCTTAGAAGCTAAAATGACAAAACTGTGGCTATCATACTTTGAAACTACCACGAGAAGACAAGATTCACTGGAAAGACAATAATGGTAGGAAAAATGAAAATACACTGGGAAGAGGAAGGCCTTACATGAGATGAATTGACTGAATAAAGCAAACCAGAGCATAGCATTGAGTTTGCAAGACTTGAACAGAGTTTTTAATGGTAGGACCATCTGGTTGTCATTAATCCATATGGACACCATCAAGTGAAAGTGACTTGAGAACACATAAGAAAAAGAAGTGCAACAATACTTTTTTCTTCTTTTTCTGAAAGGCATAAGAAGAGACAAATGGTTTATCTTACCAGTGGGATTGGGGGGGGGGAGCCTTTATTGTTAAATATTCTGTCATTACTCAAACAAACAGAAAGTCTCCTTAGGACAGGAATTATGCAATAGGCACAGAAACCACAATGTTATAATCTTGAACTTGACCTCATATTGCTTCTGAGATAAACTACAGGATAGCACCCTTTTAAAAATACAAAAGAAAAGTCATAATAAAGTTTTATAAACCAGAAAAATATGGAGAATGTTTAACTGTGTACAAAGAGTAATTTCCCTTAATTACAGCTACCTTGCAAAATGCCACAGATAGACTAGAATTATGAAATAACAGATTGCAGGTTATTTGTGTCCTGACCAGTTTCATTACAAAGGCAATATTTCACACAAGAGACACAATATTCTTGAATATGCCAAGGAGTTAAGGAGACCTTACAAAGGAGATGATAGTGGACACTGCTGTGCATAATTTTTTGTTTTATTTTTTAAAGGGTTACATGGTAATAATTTATCAATTTATGCCTCAGACATTTCTACAAGGAGCCATATTTCTTATATTTCAGACAGAAGGTGGTTTCTCCTGATTCCTTTTCTGGTGCCTGAGTTCATTAATGGTCTTGACTGCTTTATGCCTCTTTTTTAGATATTCGTATTTATAAACTGCGCCTAATGAGGGTCCAGCCTCCAGTACCGGCCTGTCCACTCACGTACCTTGGCGCTGCAAAAGTCTTGCTCTTCCTGCCAATTGTGGCTGTAGCTCCGCCATCTCCCTGCTCGGCTAGCCACTCCAGGCAGAATAGCATCAGTAGGGTTGGGGAACTCTACTTTTTTGAGAAATATGCAGAACTCTAAAGGTCTGAACCCCCACAAAGAATCCAGTGAAAAATGGCCATGCTCAATGGCCATAGACCAAAGGGGAAGAGGTTTGCAGCAAGAAAATAAAATACAGAGAAAGAATGGAAGGCACTGCTTACTAGCTGGTATACTAGACAGAAGAACTTAATATTGCAACAGTTTATGAAGAGGCTTTAAAAAGCCAACAAAAGTGTAGAAACAGACTATTGGAAGCAGAATGCAAGGATATTCAAAATATGCTTTCCTAGAGTTGCCAGCACCACAAGGAATTTAGTTGAAAAACATCTACCCATAAACAAGTAGCATTCTCATTGTTAGAATACTTCTAGATACAAACTAGACTTTGTGTAAATAAATTTGCTGAGTAGCAGAGCCAATGTAACTATTTTTCTTAATTTAAAATGTAGTCCAGATGATACCTCATTCTATTACAGCATAAATGTTTTGTTTTTTTAAAAAAATCACATAGAAGACATTAATGTTTTGCCCAGTCTACAAAATTCTGGCATCGAATAACTAGCTAAAGTTTAGAAAGCAATCTGAAGTCCTATTATCTTCTTAATTTTATACTATAAAAATATAGCCTATTTCAAACATTTTGAAATACAGAGGTTGTTAAAAGGAAGAATCACTTACTTGAGGGGGAAAAAAGCAACAACCTTAAAATCCACTTCATCATGCCATTGTTAGAGCAGCTACCTGGTAGATATCAACCTTAAAATAAAAAGAAAGAGCATTATCCAACTACAGTATGTGTCATGGATTACATACTGTAACCAGTATGTGTCATATACCAAAAATATTGATATATTGTATTATATCATTGTTTCTTCAGCTGTACTATTTCCTACCGTAGTTTTCTCTGTTTTGCCTGAAGATCTTCAGGGGATTTTCAAGCAAAATACTGAGATAAATTCTGGAACCATAATTCATAGACTATACCCCAGTTCCAACAGTGTGTCATGCACAATATGCCCTTGCTTCTCGTGCATCAGTGCAAGTATTACAAAATAGAGTACTGTATTCTGTTACAAAATACAAATGGTTTACATCAATAAACTGTTTTTTTGCTGTCAGCACAGGGTAACATCAGCATGCCTTGGATATTGGTCAGATTTCAGAACTGCACATATGGAATAAGTTAAATATCTCTGTTATAGAAATATTTGTTGAGATTTTGATATGAAAATGTATTAAATAATAATGTTGTATAGTTAAATGTAAAATGTCTGATTTTACCTGAGTCACTGTACTGACTGTATTCAGGGTGGAGGTATCAAGGATTAAGACTTAATGTTGTATAGCTGTGGTACATGATGAAACTTTGTGAAACAGAAAATGAAGTAATGTATTTTTTATTGGTCACAGAACTGTACATAAGTCATGTGTAAAATGAATTTATTTATCTGCTGTAAGTCAGATCACTTTTTCCTATGCTGTGTGTTGCTTCATGTCATGTTATGCTGCCAGAGGAATGTCTATTCTCTATGTATATATGTAAACAGACTAAGTTGGTTTTACTCTCTCAGTGTCATAGTGTCATAAGTATCTCTGCTAACCAATATCTACTTACTTTGCTGATGTTATGAAAATACACGTTATAATCAAAATTCTCAACAATATTATGCACAATTATTTAAATGTCTTCAAGTATTAAGGCAATGTTTTTACTGCTCTGGCAATGAATCAGTACTGAATTAATGTTGCATTAATTCTCCTGAACTTTGTGGGGTGAAATAAAGTATGCAATAAAAAACATCAGAGCAAACATTGCTAAGCATACAGCAGCTATACAGCTGAAATATTCTAAATACATCTTAAATAAAACTATGATAGTTGTTACAACTTGGAAATCAACTTGTGTTACATCTGGGCCTGGACAGAAAAACATTTTGCATTTATCGTCATCGTTTAGTCATGCCCAACTCTTCGTGATCCCATGGACCAGAGCGCGCCAGGCCCTCCTGTCTTCCACTGCCTCCCGGAGTTGTGTCAAATTCATATTGGTTGCTTCGATGACACTGTCCAACCATCTCATCCTCTGTCGTCCCCTTCTCCTCTTGCCTTCACACTTTCCTAACATCAAGGTCTTTTCCACGGAGTCTTCTCATGAGATGCACCAAAATATTGGAGGCTCAGCTTCAGGATCTGTCCTTCCAGTGAGCACTCAGGTTTGATTTCCTTTAGAATTGATAGATTTGTTCTCCTTGCAGTCCAGGGGACTCTCAAGAGCTTCCTCCAGCACCACAATTCAAAGGCATCAATTCTTCGGCAGTCAGCCTTATTTATGGTCCAGCTCTTACTTCCAGACATCACTACTGGAAAAACCATAGCTTTGACTATTCGGACTTTTGTGGTGATGTCTCTGCTTTTTAAGATGCTGTCGAGGTTTGTCATCGCTTTCCTCCCAAGAAGCAGGCGTCTTTTAATTTCGTGGCTGCTGTCTCCATCTGCAGTGATCATGGAGCCCAAGAAAGTAAAATCTGTCACTGCCTCCATATCTTCTCCTTCTATTTCCCAGGAGGTGACAACGGGACCAGTGGCCATAATCTTAGGTTTTTTGATGTTGACTTTCAGACCATTTTTTGCACTCTCCTCTTTCACCCTCATTACAAGGTTCTTTAATTCCTCCTCGCTTTCTGCCATCAGAGTGGTATCATCTGCATATCGGAGATTGTTGATATTTCTTCTGGCAATCTTAATTCCGGCTTGGGATTCCTCCAGTCCAGCCTTCCGCATGATGTATTCTGCATATAAGTTAAATAAGCTGGGGGACAATATACAGCCTTGTCGTACTCCTTTCCCAATTTTGAACCAAGTTTGCATTTATATTCCTGATCAATTCATTGCAATTACACTTCAAACTTTGTAAAATACTACCTGAAATTCTCTGAAAAGGAAATAGTGGGACCAAGAGGTGCATGTAATATCTTACTCTCTCTGAGACACTAGTGTTGTGTAGAAAAAGAAGTGTGCACTGTCTTGATACAGAATTTTGCTAGAAATCTCACCAGGTACAAACTGATGCAAGCAGAAGTTCTGTAATTCTCCAGAGCTTGTGAGAAACTCTGCAACTTGGAAAGAATAAAAAGCAGTACGTAGATAACTGGAGAATCACTGCACAAGATCAGTCTAACATGCTGCTTAATTGTCACATGATTGAATCTCATGATATAATGAAAGAATATAATTCGTCTTTTTTTGCAAGCTGAAACAATAATTGAAACAATAATGTGGATGGTAAAATGCACGCACACCAATGGACACCAAGAACCCAGGTTGAATTTTTAGTATCACTTGGTAGGACTTGGAAAGTTTCCTCTTATGAATCTTGGAGAGCAGCCGCTAGTCACTATAGAATCAAAAATAGAGTGGTACCTTGACGTACGAACATCCTGACTTACGACCGTTTCGAGTTACGATCTTGACGTACGAACATCCTGACTTACAACCGTTTCGAGTTACGAACAGCTCAGGTTGCAAAATTTGGCTTCGACTTGTGACCAGAGCTTCGACTTGCAACCGAAAAAAAAACATAGGGAAGGCGGGGAAAGTGGGAAATTTGAACTGCTTTCAATTAACTGTTGGTCAGCGAAGAAGCTGCTTCTCTGTACCTCGTTCACCCCAGCGGTTAGAGAGTGTGGGTACAGAGAGAGACGTCAGACAGCTTGGTACTGTGCTGTATTTTTTTAGCTTTTTAAAACAAAATTGTTTTTTTGGATTTTGACTTTCTTTTTTAGAACAGAGAGACCGCCTGTTCTGGCTGAGTGGTGTACAGGGTTTTTGCAGCATGGGTTTGGGCTGGGGAGGGTTATGTTTCTGTGATCTGATGAGTCTTGCAGTGTGGGTTTAAAAGGTGAAAATTATACTGCAATATTAAAATAAAATTAAATATGAGAATTAGACGATAATTTTAAAATGTAAAATTAGACTGAGAGATCTGTTTGCTGGAATAATGGCTGCTGGATTTATTGACTGATCGACTGATTTTTTGCTTTCTGTGGCTCCCAGGGTTTATGAACTGTGGCCTCTCTTTTGTTTTAAAAGTGTGGGTTTAAAATATGACTCCAAAGTCTTTTTGTTTTAAAATCAGAAACCTTTCTCTGAAGGGTTCTGGTTGGAATGGTGTAAAATGTGGTTTAGATTCAAGTCTCCCCCCCCCCCTTGTCTCCTCTCTATCTATCTTCTCTTTTTTGGGCTTAACGGCACAGACCTTTGTCTGTTTACCCGAGGGATGACTTTCTTTCCTCTTTCCCCCATTGTTCCTTCCTTCCTTCCCTCCCTCCTTTCCTGCCCTTTTTTCAACCTAAGTCATCTTAGGTTAAAAGAAGAAAAATTCTCCCCCTAGTGGTAGAGGACGGATTAACCGCTTTTGCATTAGTTCCTATGGGAACGAACGCTTCGACTTGCAACCGGTGCCTCTACATACAAACAAAAAACAGCCGGAATGGATTAATCGGGTTTCAATGCATTTCAGTGGGAAATGCTGCTTCTACTTATGACCATTTCATCTTACGACCATCTTCTGGAACGGATTAAGTTCGTAATTTGAGGCACCACTCTATAGACAAAATTGAGATAGACTGACCAGTGGTTAAGGCAAAGCAATACTACTCTGCTCATACTTCAAAAGTGTATCACACAGAATGACTTCAGTCATTTTTGTATTCAGGGCAGGCTCCATCATATGTATGCTTCTGAGATACAACATCATGGAAATATAAAATTTAGAGAACAGTTATTCACAAAAGAGTTAGCAAATAAATATGAAAGTATGAATAAGTATCACTACTAAACTAGTTCCTATGAGGAGCAACAGATAAAACTTAGTGGTTAACGAGAAAGTGCTAAAATCTGGGGGGTTTTAAGGGTGGGAGAAGGAAACTGCCACTATGTGCAAAACAGTCCACTGACAAAATTAAATAACATTTGTGGGGAGAACACAATGCTTTTATCTTACTCCTATATCCCAAGAACAGCTTACCAACCATAACAACTATTGACACACAACGGACCACATAGCATGAAGACAGACAGTGACAAGGTTCTGATCTTATACATACTGTCCATTGTTTGGCAGACAGCATTTACAGTTCCTGAAATGATACAAGTGTACACATTACAACATCAGAAGTTGCATTCTTTAATATGCCCCCACTGAGTATTCTTGTGGGCTGTTCTCCAGGTGGGTTGTTCTGCTAGTATGTTTGGTTCTTGACTAAATATAGTAATATCTTGCTTGTTGCTCATTCCAAGAAACTGCTCATTCCAAGAAAATGGAGCACTAACTGATTCAGCACTAAATGAAGTCATTTTAACATTATGCCTTATAGCACAGGTGAGAAAAGACAAGTAGATCAGACCCGTAGAAAAGCAGGTAAAGATTAAGCCCATGTGCGTGCACACCACTTTTAGGATTAAAGCTGCAGAACAGGAGGCAAAGGAGAATGCATCAGGGAATGAGGGCCACTTGGAATTCTAGAGACCCAGTCTACCTCCTTTAGCAGACTGGGCCCCCCACCAAGCAGCATAAAATGGATGCATGATTACACACACTGTAGCAGATCAGTGCTAAATGGGGCAGCACCATATAACCTATTACTCTACCGTGATTATTTGCCCTCAGCCATTACTTGAAAAGTTCCTTTGAAAAAATTGTGCTCTATTGACAATCCATTTTCATCTGCAAAATATATGGTAAGAAAGTACAGCTT